ATAGAAAAAATTAGCCGGGCATGGTGGCGCATGCCTGTAGTCCCAGCTACTCGGGAGGCTGAGGCAGGAGGATCACATGAGCCCAGGAGTTTGAGGTTGCTGTGAGCTAGGATGACGCCACGGCACTCTAGCCAGGGCAACAGAGTGAGACTCTGTTTCAAAAAAAAAAAAAAAAAAAAAAATCTCTATTTCAAAGAATTGATAGCGTCTGGATGACATATATTGTGATATACATGTAATACTTGCTTTCTTTTGCAGTAGTAGGATAAGATATTCACTTGCTATTGCTTTTTAACAATTTCAAAATACTACACATAATGCATTTTAGAAGTAGCCACTACAAAAGTTAAACTGAGTTGTATAAGCAAGTATAAAATGGTTATAATACAGAATAAAGTTCATAAATTGTAGAATGATTCATCAAAGAAACACTATGAAATCTTCACATACAGATTCAATTCCAAATCTAATACGTTAATCATGTAAATATTTATTGTATTTACAGTGTTTCTGGAAATGGACCAGCATACAAAGCCCCCAGAGTAACCACAGAAAAGCAACTCCAGCAAGAAATGTTCCCAGTTAAGAATGGCAGAAAGGTATCTTGCATGAAGAGCTCTCTTCTCCTTAAAGGAAAAAATCTCCCCAGAAGCATTTCTGATAAACTGCGGTCCACCCTGCCAAATCGACACCAGTTGCAAACAGACGGACGTTATTTATTTGGAAATCGGATAGCACAAACATCTTCAGATCTTGGCAATGCAAATCACAGGACAGGAGTATCATTTTCTTTTTCCAAAAAAGTGCATCTAAAATTAGAATCTTCAGCATCGGTTTTCAGTGAGAACACAGAAGAAAACCATGATTGTAACAAGTCACCCCTTTATAAGACCAAAAAAACTGCAGAGAAATGCAAGTGCTGCAGGTTTGCAAATGAGGATACACACCTTACTAAGGAAAAGGATGTAAACATCTCACCAAGCCATCTGGAAAGGGTTTTACATAATACTTTCTCCATAAGCTCTAAAATTTTGCAAGACAAAAATGACTCTATTGATGGAACACTAGAAGATTCAATTGGCATTCATGCTTCATTATCTAAATCTAACATTCATCTTTCAGATGTGGATTTTACGCCTTCCAGCAGAGAAAAAGAAACTAGAAACATGTTGAAGAACACTTCAGAAAACCACATTAATCACCCAAGCCAAGCAAATGCTTCATTCAGCCCACCAACCATTTCCAAACACAGGGATGCCAGAATATTTGAATGCCTGGATGAGTTTTCATCGCCAGAGCCGAGTGAACAAAAGAGTACAATGTATCTGAATCCAAATTCCAGAGTGGAGAACAGAGAAAGATCTTTAAGTAAAACAGAAAGAGTTAGCAAAAATGTGCAAAGACTTGTAAGAGAAGTGACATCCAAACCATTGCCTTTTCTCCACGTACAAAGCAAGGATGGCCACACCACTCTTCAATGGCCTACGGAACTTCTGCTCTTTACAAAAACAGAGCCTTGTATCTCTTACGGCTGCAACCCATTATATTTTGATTTTAAGCTTTCTCGGAACACAAATTATGGCCCTAATGCCCAGGAATTAAAAACAGAATTGGGTGAGGAACCCTTGGAAATGAAGAATAAAATAGAGAGCCAAGTCTCAGGTTTAATAAAGGACCAACAAAAAATAATCCAAGAAGATGATCAGTCTCTGAAACCAAAGATGATGATAGCTAATCCGGATTGGGAAAATTTCCAGAGAAAATATAATTTGGGCTATCATGATTCTGAGCCAAATAAGAGTGAACATAATTTTAGTGAAAAGGATTTGAAAGTGAAAACTCCCGAAGTGCCTGCTTACCTCGATAAGTCTGTAAAGGATTGTGTAGGAAAAAATAACAATAGCGATAATGAGTGTAAGGAACCTGCCAGGGCCTATTTGCAAAGCTGCCGGAGAGTAGTTCTAAATGATGCAAATGAGGGCCTGTCTTTTCCTCCCTACATCTCTAGGACTAAAAAGCATAAACTGATCCCCTGTGATCCTTATTCAAATGAGTCTGAAGATGAAAGCCAATTCACCTGTCATTCTCCTCCTTCTACAGTAGGGGACCACAGTGACCACGGGAAGGACTTCGGTGTAATTTTGAATAGTAACCACATCGGCAGAGTCAGCCACGGTTCTGGGTGCGGAAACCAAAGCCACAAGAGATGCTCTCTAAAATCGTCTCTGCATGGATGTTCTAGCCCTTCAGACACATCCCCTAGCAGCAGGTCCAGCTTGAGAAGTACTTGTTTGCGTCATAGGTTCAATGATAATGGCAGAGGTAATCTGCTCTACTTTTGTAAAAGAGAACACTACTCCATTGAAAGGCACAAATGGAAACGCAGAAAGCACAACTGCCTCTACTTGTCTGATGAGATAACAAAGAGCAACCGACTACAGCCTGAAACACAGAGAGATAGGAACTGCAAATTGTGGAAATCACTTAAAAATGAGAAATACTCCAAACATAGATATTGTCCCTGCAGAGAGAGACATAAACTAGGCAAAAATCAACAACAATTTTCAGGGACAAAATCTACTAGAATCATCCATTGTGATTCTGGTTCTAGTTCACAGGTTTCCTATGACAGTGGCAGTGAAAAATCCCCTACTTGCCATGGACCTCAGCACAGCAGATTAGGCTCTTACTCAAGAGAGAGAATTTATTACTTAAATAAAATCAAGAGAAATCAAGAGTCTTTGGACAGCTCTCACATTTGTGATCTGGGAACAGTCAAGCCCTTACAGTGTAACTCTGAGAATATCAACTGCCTTCCAAGGAACTGTTCCAGTGTCGCTTCAGAAACCACACAGTTGAACATCACAGAAGGCGCGAAGACCCCTCAGACAGCCAAAAGCCTTTTAGAAAGAGTACAAGCCAAGAAGTGTCGGGAACAATCAACTAATTTTGAGGTCTCTTCAAACAGCTGTAAAAATGAATTAGAGGCTCATTCACAAAGCCAGTGCACAGTTCAACCTGTATCACCGGGCTGTAACAGACCAGCATTGCTTTTGTCTGAAAAAATACAGTACACAACTAAAAGAAGAAACGATAAAGGCAGTGTCATTCTAAGGACTACCGAGAAAGACGAAATCAAAAGTTCACAGACAAATAATATTACCGTGTTAGCAGACACTGATTGTGATAACCATCTTTCTAAAGGTATAATCCACATAGTAACAGAGTCTCAGTCACTAAACATAAAAAAGAATCCAACAACAAAAGAACAATCAAAACCTTTAATTAGTGAAGCCAAATCTTTTATTCAAAG